CAGTTTTTTGGTTCTTGTGTCAAAGAACAATAATCTGAGTCTTTATAGATGCATTTATCTGCATATCGTCTGCATAGAGGGTTCTGATAGAGTCTTTGGGCTGCAGGAAGCTATAAATGAGATGAACGATGAGCTGCAGGAGAACGCTAGAGAAACAGAGCTGGAGCTCAGAGAGATGCTGGACCTGGGCGCAGCCAGAGTCCGTGAGGCTGAGAAACGAGTCGAGGCGGCGCAGGAGACTGTGGCAGATTACGAGCAGACCATCAAGAAGTACAGAGAGCTGACAGCTCACCTGCAGGTACACCTACACATTTTAACCTCGTTTTATTGTTAATTTCTGAAGTATGTTTAGCTTTCTCTTTGGTCACGCATGATCTGTTAAGTCAATAATTATGTTTTTGTCTCCTGTTTTTGCTGCAGGAGGTGAACAGAGAGCTTACCAGCCAACAGGAGGCCTCAGCAGAGCTTCAGCAGCAGCCGCCAGCAGAAATGTTTGATTTCAAGATTAAGTTCGCAGAAACAAAAGCTTATGCCAAGGTCAGACAGTATCAGAGTTTGTTAGCCTTAACAAGAAGCATCCTACCATCGATATTCATTCAAAGTGTGTTTGCCTTATCAGGCCATTGAGATGGAGCTGAGGAAGATGGAGGTGGCTCAGGCCAACAGGCACGTGTCTCTTCTGACTTCCTTTATGCCTGAATCCTTCCTTCGTCATGGTGGAGACCATGACTGCATCCTGGTCCTGCTGCTCATCCCAAGACTCATCCACAAGGTAGATTTTAGCTAATGCTAACGCTAGGTCCTGTGTTTGACTCCATTGCGGTGCATTGTAGGTGGAATGTAATGGGAACCTCATCAGGCACGAGGGAGTGCAAAGGTTCCCCGTCTTTCTGAGGATACAAAAAACACTTGTTTTCAAATCATGGTGTTTTAACATATTAGATGAAGCCTATATAGTATATATGTGCAATGATATACAGTATAGTACATATATTTTCCTGCAGTCCAACCAGGTCTGAACTACCTTAAAGAGCTCTAAAGACCGACGTCTTAACCTGATGCGAAAGGATGCCTCAGACGGATAAATGAACCATATTTGTTAGAGCTAGAATCATCTCCTTGCATCTGTGTTTGCGTGTCCTCCTCAGGCTGAGCTGATAAGCAAACAGGCGCAGGAGAAGTTTGACCTGAATGAAAACTGTGTGGAGCGAGTCGGCCTGAAGGGAGCAGTCGGTGAGCAGCTGAGCTTCGCCGGCGGCCTCGTCTACTCCCTCAGTCTGCTGCAAGCTACTCTCCACAAATATGAACAGTAAGTTTGGCTACAGAGATGCGGTTGATGGTCACAATTGACAATCTTTAATTTATTCTTCTCATCATACATTTCATGGAGCTGTATTAAGCACATTGCATTTATTGCAGCATCCTCGGCTGTGTGTCTGTTTGGCAGAGCTTTGTCTCAGTGCAGTGTAGATGTCTACAAGAAGGTGGGCTCTCTGTACCCGGAGATGAGCGTTCATGAACGATCTCTGGATTCCCTCATCGACCTTCTGCACAAAGACCAGCTGGACGAGACGGTCAATGTGGAACCACTCACCAAGGCCATCAAATACTATCAGGTGCACAGCATTATTTCCCTTGTAGCTAACAAAGCATCAACTTTACATGAGAGGATGATACGGTGCGTCTTCATGCGCATTTTTCTATTGACATAAAACTTAATTTAATGTTTGTCATTCGTTAGCATCTGTACAGCATCCATCTGGCAGATCAGAATGAGGAGTGCACTATGCAGCTGGCTGATCACATCAGAGTAAGTAAAAGCACAAGTGATCTGCCCCCTCCATCCATCCACAATCTGCACCAGGAGTTTGCTCATAAATTATCTTGCTTTGATGTGCAGTTTACCCAGAGTGCCTTGGACTGCATGGCGGTAGAGGTTGGTCGGCTGCGGGCGTTCCTGCATGCAGGTCAGGAGAAGGCCGACCTCGCCGTGCTGCTGAAGGACTTGGAGACATCCTGCAGCGACATCAGGCAGTTCTGTAAGAAGATTCGCCGCAGAATGCCCGGAACAGATGCACCCGGTATCCCTGCCGCGCTTAACTTTGGACAACAGGTGGGAAGCATTTATTTAAACTTTTGCTTGTTTGTTAGAGTTGGGGGTAAATTTATGTCTGGAGCTGAAATTTTAAGAGATTTTAAGAGATTTTAAGATGGCCGCTCTCCTTTTACAAATTTTTCCCTGTAGGTGTCCGACACACTCTCCGACTGCAGGAAACACCTGACATGGGTGGTTGCAGTGCTGCAGGAAGTAGCTGCCGCTGGAGCTCAGATGATGTCTCCTCTTAGCGAACAGGATGGCCTGGCAGCAGTTAAACTGGAGGATGTGGCGTTCAAGGCTGCAGAACAGGTAATACCCCAGCTCTGCTGTTTTTTCCAGAAGAAAACAAGCAGAACCACTGGTACTCACTAAAAGGATCCCAAACCTTCCTTACTGTGTTACCACGTTTCTACTGTACTTGAGAATAAGGAGCTTCCTGTGGCTCCACACACACAAAAAAAAACTTATTTCTAAAACGACAGTGACAGCTTCATCAGGAATTCACCAGAAATACGAAGATGAAATATAAAAAGGACTTTTATAGGCAAGGCCTGTGGAGATGTTTACGATTAATCCAAAAGAATTCAATGACACAGTTAGCTTAAATCACAAACTTTTTTTAAATCTTAAATGCAAAATGTTTAAATGTTTTTTTTTACAATTTTGTTAGAATTACTGCTATAAGTGGGCTGCTCTGTCAACTAAAGGTATATTTTACAGTCTATACTCCAGTTAACGATTAATCGATTACTGAATTAGTTGATTATCTCAATAATCGATGAGTCGCAGTTAATACAATTAATTGTTTCAGCCCTAATCTCTCCTCCTGCTGAGGGAATCCTTTAACATACTTTTTCTGCCCCATCTTTTTTTCTTTTAGATCTATGGATCTCAGGGTGCTAATCCCTACGAGTGTCTGCGACAATCCTGTAGCATTGTCATAGCAACCATGAATAAAATGGCTACTGCCATGCAGGAGGGAGAATATGACTCAGACAAGCCCCAAAGCAAGGTAACTGTGGATGTGAAGCTGCTGTGCAGATGTGACTGTTGTAAAGCAACCCAGAGTGACTTGGATGTGTCTTTATGCGGAACATGTCCACTGAGTACAGGATATTATTTTCATGTCTCCCTCCCCATCATTCCACAGAACCCCCCACCCGTGGATGTACGTGCTGGAGCACTTCGAGCAGAAATCACAGATGCAGAAGGTCTGGGCTTGAAGCTGGAGGACAGAGAGACGGTTATTAAAGAGCTAAAGAAGTCTCTAAAGATCAAGGTAGAGGAAAAAAACAGAAACTCTTGAGCTTTTTAAACACACCGCTGCTGCGTTAAATGTAACATTAAATGTGGTTTTTCTAGAGATGCACCAATCCAGTTTTTTCCAATCTAATCCAATACCTGGGCTGAAAGTATTAGCTGATATCCGATACTGATCTGTTTCAACTGTTGGATGAATTAACCATATATCTTTGGAGTCACAATGAAGGAAACTTTTCAGAGGCTCTTAACTTGGTAACTTTGTGCAACATCTCAGGGAGAAGAGCTGAGTGAGGCAAACATCCGTCTCAGCCTGCTGGAAAAGAAGCTGGACAGCTCGTCCAAAGACGCAGACGAACGCGTGGAGAAGATCCAGACTCGTCTGGACGAGGCGCAGACACTGCTGAAGAAGAAGGAGAAGTAATCTGGATTGCAACCTATTTAGACCAGAGATGTTTTGCAGTCGCAGCTTATCTAATGCAATCCTCTGTGCAGGGAGTTTGAGGAGACCATGGATGCTCTGCAGGCGGACATCGACCAGCTCGAGTCCGAGAAGATGGAACTGAAGCAGCGAATCAGCAGTCAGTCAAAGATGAGCTCTGACGGACTGAGGGGGAGCGGCCCGTCTGGAATCGCTTCGATTGTCTCAGGAATATCTGGAGGTGATAGGAAGGAACTCGTACAGTAAAAGCATCTGTCCATGTTCCTCTAACAGCTGCTTCAGTCCATATCTAACACCATCTGTGTATTATTGGAACTCATACAGAGTATTTAATGTTTCTCTTCTGTCTGATCTTCTTTTCTTATCTCCTGTTTTACTCTTCAGAAGAACAAAAAGGTATCTGCCTGTTTGCATCTGATGTGTTTCTGCATGACATTCAGCTTAGACAGGAAGCCATTTTTTTTGTTTTAACAGATTTTGGTTTCATTCAGGACATTAAAAAAAATGCATGCTTTACATCACCAAAAAAAAAAAAAATCCAAATCCGATTTAAAGAGTAAAACCCTTAAATTGAATGTGATTCTCCGGATTACTTACTTGATGGTCATTTATTTACCCCTTTTTGTGTCTTTCACTGTTTTTTCACCATCTGCTCTGTGCCCAACTCTGCTATCCCAGCTAGCTGCTATAAACTAATATTTTACCCATAGATGAGGAAAAGAAGTCATTAGAAATATTCGTTTTCTCTATATATTAAATGATCAAACACTATACAGTGTTTTAGCTCGAGCTTAAAATAGGCTTATAGCTTCCTTTGATAAATGTTATGTTTGCTCATGGGAAGCATTAACATGGCTGTGGCAGCTCATATTAATCCCTCATTCTAAATAAAAGCACTTGGAGAATGCAGACCTCCACCAAGTAGCTCATTTTCCCCAACATATTGTGACCTCCACCTTAAGTTACTACCCGAGTTAACAGAATATTTCAAATAAATTCTTAGATCCAGATCTGATCTGGATCATCACCAAAAGTTCATTGTTTGTTGCCAGTTACAATACGCACCTTGTCTGAAAATTTCAGCAAGATCCCTCCTTAATCGTTTTATTTATTTGGAAAACAAACAGAAACAAACAGACAAGCCAAAACCAATGAAAACAAAAGGGCTGAATGGGAGAGGCTGTTCATCTTGGTTAGAACCAAAGAAACAGTAGAGCTACACAGGTTAGACGGACACATTGGCTGGCCAATATTTTTACCAGATATTAACATTCTTTTTCTTCTATCAGTTTCAGCGGATGGATGCATTAAAATAATAGAGTGGGCACCACATTTGGCTGCTGGAGTGCATAAAATACACCAACCTGCTTGGTTAAACCAAAACATCAGAAGATGCCAGAGCGCTGTGCAGGATGTTTTTCTTTAAATCGACAGACCACTCGACAGACATTAGGCCACCAGCAATGTGTCAGCAAATGTTGGAAAACATTCACTGCAGGTGTTTAACTGGCTATGAAGGGTTATTAAGATAAGACTGCACCACAGTACCAAAGTCACATCTTCTGCTGAAACACACCAAAACGCTCCTATTTCACCAGTTTCATATTCCGTTTACTTCCAGTCCAATAGAATCATTCGATCTTGATGCGCACATTGAGAAATTATAATGTTGTTGCTAAAGTCCATGCGGATCAAAAGAAATGTGTCTCCGTTTCTCACTCAAAAGGAAAGCCCTTGATTTGTTAAACAAAATTTGAAAAGAAGAAGGTTTGAGCAAAAACCTGAACTGTAGAAAGGTTTGTCTTTGCATGGCGATCATTTCTAAGGCTTTTATTTCTTTATTGACCCAAAGCCTCGCCTCAGGTCAGCCGCTGATCCATCGCTCTGGTTCTCATTCACAGCCAACATGATGGCAGGAGTCGGCTCCGGTTCCGGCGCTCAGGTGATCGACTCTCCTCTGTTGACGAAGCAAATTGAAGCTCAGAGGCTCTGCATCAAACACCTGAAGAACGAGAACAACAGGCTGAAGGTAAGGACTTTCTCCCATCATCCGCAGGTTTTCCTTTTCTTCCATCCCATCATCCGACATGATGCTTTCCCCCCGGCAGGCTGAGAAGATGCGTACTCAGCTCGCCTCTCTGCCGTCGCTCAACGTGACCAAACTTCCTTCCAAGGAAGGACGACCTGAAGTGCTCTCTAGTGCCCTCTACCGCAAGACCGACCAGCTCCTGGAGACCTTGCTCCAGATGAGTGCAAATGTCAAGGTGGTGGATATCACTGGGAAGTCGCCAGGTAAAGTGTTAATCGGACCAGTTAATTATGGCTGACTCTGAGTTTACTTACCCTCCTCCCTGCACATCCACATGCACAACCCTGTACCCGTTCCTGAGTGGAACGCCTATTAAACACGTGCGAGAGCATGCATGAGCCCATGCTGTTCTCATGGCTCATACAAGCTTACTGTGTCCGAACGTCCACCCTAACCCCTAAATCCCTCAACGACCATATGGAGCGGGGACTATATAGTGGACTTAATAGCGAACTAGGTTAACTTACCATTCTGGGATATATCTGCCTGTTCTGAGGCCTTTTCTTCTGGTTATACACTTCATAGACACTCTTCTCTTAAGACCCTCTGCCATTTTCAAAGAACCGCTGTGAGAAAGGTGAGCTTTAACAACTGTCTGAAACCGTAGCTCACCACAGATATACGCCTGAAAGTGTGCTTGCGCAGAAAAAGATGGCTAACTGGGGAGGACCACGTAGGATGACATTACGTAAACAAATCACCATAATGATTGACAGGAGGACGACTTATTTTGATGATCCGCTGGGAAAAAGAAAATCTTCCACTATACCTTTAAAGAAGCACAAATTTCCCTGTAAAGCTTGAACCATAGATGTTTCAATTCAACTCGTTTAAATAGATATTACAGCTTTAGTAAATGACTGCCTTTCATGTCTGGAGTGGAACAGGTTACCCTTAGATTCCACATCCTCTGTAAAAGCTCCGCCCCGCTCACGTATGTCCGGCGGAGCACTTGCGAGGTCATGTTAACCAACGAGAACTATTCCACGTCCACCGTTACTCCTCCGAACTTCTCCGTCCACTTATGTGTCCTCTGTCCTTCACCTTAAAAATACAGAACAAAGCTTTTTTTTTTTTTTTTTTGCTCTGCTAGAATCTAGGTCAAGAACCACACTTGCAAGCGTATCTAACAGGGAAATGAATATCAAGGAGATCCAGTTTGTCAAAGTAAAATAGGGATAACGATTGATGGGTTACTACAAAGTAGAGCATAATTTTCATATATTCCCAATAAATAAGACTTTAATTTATTGTATGGTTGCCTGTTACTTCAACATACAAGGAAGCAGATTTTCATCTCATCAAACTATTTATTATATGATGAAAGGCTTGAAAGTTTTGTCAAATTCAGTTACAACTTCTTATCGCAGACGTGGGCGAAGAGATGCTGATTTTGGAAGGGACGGGGAGGTTGAGGAGGATGTGGGAATTCGGGGTGAGGCTGTTTGATAATGTTTTATTTGTCCAACAGTGACCCCTAGTGCTCAGCTCCTGGAACAGACAGCACGTCTTCAGTCCCTGAGAGAGACTCTGGACAAACTGAAGGTAAAAAATAAAATAAAACCAAGCATACAGGAATATGGAAGAAAAAAGGTTTAAAGCTAAGGAAGTGCCAACTTTACGAGCATCAGTGGGTTTCATCTCTTCTTCTTCTCTGCTTCTGTTCAGGGTGAGGTAGCAGAGCATGTCGTCAACCTGCAGCCTGGAGCTAGAGTCTCATCAGACTTTGCAACGTTCCCTTCAACCTCCTTTGTTAAGGTGAGAGCTCTTTGTTATAAACTTAAATTCAACTCAGGGCCTCCTGGCTAACAGGCATCAGGGAATCTTCAGATCTTACCTGAAAGTTTTTTTTTTTTTTTTTCCCCAGGCAACCGAAGAGAAACACTCGGACACAGTGTTGGTCGGTCGAGTTATGGTGCCGTGTCCTCGGGGTCAGGAGCGGGTCCACCGTCTGGTTCTATCCCAATCCCAGCTGCAGAGAGTCCACAGTCTCCTGCAGACCTAGATGTTGCTTTTTGTGGCACCATAAATGGCTAAACAAGTAAAATCAAGAGGGATTTAAAGCATCAAATGGAAGATATGCTAGCAGCTCTGTAGTTAAGATCTCAGCACACCTGCAGTTTATTTCTGTAAAGATATCAGGCTTCCGTTTCACGATGCATGTTTACTGAACCTCTGTTTCAGTCACCGTAGTAACAGTCTCCCCAGAGATAACCTGGTTGGGAGCAGGTTTTTTTCCCAGTAAATTTAGAGTGTCCTCAGTCTCTGCTCTCCTTAAAACCAATCGCATTGTTTATTTCCAAGTTTAATCAGATTTTTTGGGGATTTTTGTGCATAAAGAAAGTAACTCACTACAGTAGGTCCGTTAGACACATTAGGTTTTAAAAACAAACATTGCATATTCGTTTGACGAGAATCTTATTAAAGAATAATTAGCACCTTTTTACAGTGAATGAATATTTATGGGGAGAGGATTCTACAGCTCAGTTGACACAAAATGAGATTTATTTATTTTTATTTATTTATTTATTTTACAGTACATGAAGAACTACTGAAATAATTTTCAGGTTACACATAAATGGATAATTCAGTGGGGTGAAAAGGAATTAAGGGTTAGGATTAGGATTCACTTGATGATAACAACCCAATGAGCCTACTGGCACAATCAGAAGCCATTCTATGGGACTGATAGCCGCTAATTACGACCATTTATTGGGATGATAACATCCGAAGCAGCTGACACAGACACTTGCTGTGTAATGTAAAACAGAATCAAACTTAAGAACCCCATGCTGTCCAGATGATTTCACCTAAATAGATACATTGATCTACTACCATTCAAGAAATAAACCTGTAATATTGTCGCAGTTACAGCAGACTGTGGCAAGCCGTTCTGATATATATTAGTTTTACTGAATATGCATTCCTAATATCTGAAAAAAAAAATGTTTTCCTTGTCAAAATGACCTTTATAAACAAATTGACATTCTCCACATCTACAATATACATTCTAGATGTCTAGAAAATAACTTCAGATCTACATATTACTGTTGTTACAGGACATCCTTTATATGATTTTGACTATGAAGAAATATGTTTCAGATACCATGAATACATATTGAGTCAAGCTGATAAATGTCAAAACCGCCACTTAAAATGCGTAAACCTTTCCGGTATGTAAAACTTAATTCTTACCAGTATAATTTTGTTTCTCTACTTTCTGAAATTCAGTTTCTGCTGCAAAAAAATTATTAAGAAAATATATTACTACAGTTCTGTCTAGGAGTGTGATTTTTATCTGGAAGAATCTTATTGTAGTGATCTACAAATGGAACAACAGAGAGGAGAGTTAATAAATAATAGAAGCTTTTAATAAATGTATAACGGCCTGCCATTGCCCACTTCATACAAACCTATAGATTAACTCAACAATTTTCTCCTTGTCCTTCTTCCTCTCCTTTGCAGCAGTGGTGCTGTTTATCTGTTTTTTAAACACATTCTCCATTTTTTCCTTTTAATTTCTTATTTATAATCTCTAGTTCCAGTGGGATGAAATAGGCACTTCCTGTTGCCTTTTTAATGGTGACTCGTTGAAATGGCGCTCCACTGATAATGGCTTTTCATACACGCGCTCAACTCTGAGTGGACCTACTTGGAGGGTATTGAACTAATTCATAGCAGCCGTTGTGAAACTGAAAACTCAGAGTTCCCGACAATAGGCTATATCAACTTGCTGAGTTTGTTAAACCTGCTTTGTGAAACTGACCCCAGTTCTGTTGCTTATCTTCTGTTTTAGGTGAAGATGAAAAATTATTAAACTGAGATCTGAAAAGTTTATTTTAAACAATGTATTCTTTACTGTCAGAAACCCTTGGTAGGTTTTAATTTGTGCCCCAAAATAAGCATAACACTTCATATCTTCAGTCAATCGCATAAGTCACCTTCTGCTGTTAAAAACAGATTTCAGGCCTTTTGTTATCTTTTTTATCGTTCAGCTCCTTTTAGAGGTCAGCCAGCTGGTTAGAAAATATAAAAAAATCCAATAATTTTCTGCCCAATAATCTTCAGAATTAAATTTGTTTCGTAGTGAAAATTCAAAGTTAGCCGTTTCATTTTTTTAAAATAAGGCAAAGTTGAAGTAGCTGTTTAAAAGGAAACTGTAAGAGCAAGAGTTTTAGCAGAGAACAGGAAGGCTGTGAGGAGCTTGTTTTATCGTTAAGCCTAAAATGGTCTGTCGTGCTAGATTTGTTGGAATCTGTCTGAAAAGAGCAGGGTACGATCTAAAATTGTAAAAAAAAAAAATAATAATAATTTGACCTTCCTTGTTTTCTTCTTTATTCACTGTACAGTGAGAATTTCAGACCCTCCATGATTTCTAAGTGGGAGAACTTGCAAAATATTTTTGTCACCGTATATACATACTGCTAGAACAAATAATAGAAGAAAACAAGATTGTTCTCTATTATTACTGTATTACTATTTCTAACAGTTTTTCAATAATCCTAGCTGCAATCCTCATGCTAACTGTTATTCCATTATCATGTTTGTAAAAAACGTATTTTATAGGAAACAATCAATGAAAGTTGCTTGATCTCACCAAAGCACTTACTATAAATTAGTAATTACCCACAACAGGAAAGCTTTGAGGTGAAAAAAAAAATACTTTATTGTTGGTCCGGCATTTAATTTGCACCAGCAAATTAACCTACCAGAAAAAAATCTGCCTCAAATTTGCATTGCTTTGTTTTTTCTTACCAAAAGTGTTTAAGCCTGGTTTGACTTTCAGTCATTCTAATGACACAATCATATTTCCCTTTGGGATATATAAAGTATTTTGAACTGAACTGATAACCTGGACTGAATAAAGTGATGCCTGCTGCTCAGACTCGCACCGTTACCAACCTTACTCCTGTGATTTCTGCAGCTAAACTCACAGGATCCTATAAACTTTACACAGCAGGAGCAACTGTGAGGCTGTTGGTAATCTTTTGGGGGGGTGGGTTGGAATTGCTCTTGGCGCTTCGCTTGCCTGTATGAAGGGAAATTATTATGGGATGTAAAATTTAATCTTTGTTTCAGTTTCATCATTTGCACGAGCCACTAAAAGAACAAAATCCAGCACATTAGGTTCCCCACAGACAGGTGGAGGGTTTTATGAATTGATGAAATGAGGAAAATTTGGATGCTGATCAAACAAAAGAAGCTGTTTAAGTTCAGGTGGACACAGTCTGCAGCCTTAAACCTGTAGACATCAACCTTAGTTGATTGGATTCAGATAAACCTTAATGAAGGAAAACTGTTTCTTTGCCAAAGACTGTTTTTTCTGTTCTATTTTGTTTTTCTTTTTTAATTTGCTGGGCATAGTGTATTTATTTGAAAGT